CCTTTCATCCAGCAGAAAACGAGGGATGAGTCATCCGTTGTTCACTTTAGAGTTTTATCCTCCGGTTCTGCTGTAGAGGGAAAAGTCCGGCTCACATCAGGGTCAGCAGGGCCTTGGCATCGACTGTTTGGTCCAAATGTTCCTTCATCCATCTAAATTATTCACATGAATGTGATTATAAATATGTTTGAACTAGTTTTGTTGGTTTGCACTTGTAAAGTTACGCCGTCAAAAATCAACACCAATAATTTGGGTTATTTGGCTAATCAATAGTAAAATATGGGGGTTCATATTTTTACTATGTTATTCATTCATCTCAGCTCCAAACTAAATTTATTGAAATATTTAGCTACAAATTAAATATTTATTCTCCAAGTTGTAGTTACGTTGTAGTTGATCAACTAAATATTTAGATCTAACCCTTATATTCAACTAGCAAACTAAATGTTTAGTTTGGTGATAAATATTTTGAACATATTAGCTAAATCTTTAGCTCTGAACTAGCTAATCATTTAGCTAGCTCAGAGCTAAGTATTTAGCTGAGTAGTGCTCACAAAGTCGCTTTAAAATTGCGATTATTGCTAAACAAATAAATAGCACAACTTTGTAAAGGGAGCTGTATCAGGTACGACCAAGCACCAAACTGGATAATTTATCTTTCTGAATCTTCAAGTTGGAGCCTCTGGATGTTTGGTTGACCTGGTGACCCATGAACTTTGGAGACAGGAACCAGGAGCTCTGATCAGAGTTTGTCATTAGATCTTTGTGGGTTTCTTATAAAACGCTCTGGTTCTGGTAGCGGGTCAGATAGTGACCACAAACACATCGGCTGCATGTTTCTACCAACCTCACTGCCATCTGCTTCCTCTACAACTTGTGACTGATTTCTATCGACGCTGATGACAAACCGCCAACACCTCTCCTTCCTGCTGCGGCGGCGTGTCACAGGAAATCCACCACACGCCCTGAAACTGAAACCAGCTCAGAGCTTCGGGTTTCAGCTGGTTCTGATTCACCACACTGAGGAAACTTTGACGAGACGGACTGGGCTCCTAGAAGTGGCGATAAACGCTGTAATAAACACTCATCCATGCAGAGCTGTGATGGTGTGGCTGCCTGAAGCTATGCTGAAGACGCCGGATTGAATTGCTAATGCGCCGCAGGGAGTGTGTGTGTGTGTGTGTGTGTGTGCGTGCTGCTGGCTGGCAGCGCTGCGAGGCTGTTTAGCGAGCGAGACGAGCAGCGCTGCCGATGAATATTTAACCAGAGAGAGGCAGAGCAGCCATCATTTATTGATGCTGCTGAAGGGGAAGATGAATGGGCTGTCTGTGTACACAGCCCTGGAAACCGCCGGCATCCAGGCGAGACTCGACCCCAGTCTGGATGTGCGGCAGGAAGCAGAGATTCTCTCTGTCATGGCGCATTTGTGGGGGAATAAAAGAGTTTGTCATTAGATCTTTGAAAACTTCAGATTCCTCGCCTCCTTCAGAGGTCATGGCGGCGATTCCTGCTCCATGTTTAGATCCGTTCAGGGTCATGGTGGCTCTAGAGGTTGGTTCACTTCCTGCTAACGCAAAATCCTGCAGCTGTGAACAAATTAGGAGAAAGTCTGCTGTTGGTTCTGACCAAAAATCCCCTCAAACAGACGCTTTGAGGAGAAAAGGCTTTCTGGTGGAGTCTGAAGCTCTGGTCCTGTTCAGTTCGCTTCAATCCAACTCCAGTCCGTTTGGCTAGAAAGTCCGGTTCGTTTGTGGAGCCATGATTGCTAATCAAACTCTTTTGAAAGCACATGTGAACACCAAGTGAACTGCACATTGTTCCAAAAGCAGTAAGCGACCAACAGCGCAGGGAATTCTGGGTAAATCCAAAGTCAACAGACATGCTAGCCCATCGCTACCAGCAGAAATGGCTCCTGGTCTTTAGCTACATGAGAGAAATCCTCCATCTGTTAAAATACGATGCTTCCAGTTTGGTTTCCAGTTCTTTAAGAAAGAAGTTGGGCTCAGCATCTTCAGAAGTTTTTGTCTTTTCCTCCAGTGGTTCTTGGAGCAGCGCCCCCACAGGCCAGGAGGGGAACAGTGCAGTGTGAATACAAACTCCAGCAACTGGAAATGTTAAAATTTTGGTCCCAGTCGAACAGAATCTACCAAACTATCAGATAGGAAGGTTTGTCTGAGTCTCCAAACTCATCAAGCACTTTTGGGGAGGGAGACATCAGGAGGCCTGATCAGATTAATGTCAGAGCAAAATAACGCGACGATAAATGGACCGGAAAGAAAAAAAAAACAGACTTTTAATCTGTCAAAATAAGCCAAAAAAAAAGACATTTTTTTCCCAGACCAATAACCTTAACAATCTCTGTTTGGCATTGAATTAAACTGCTTGACCAGAACAACCTGCTTAGCTAACATGCTTCTCATCCTGCCTGTAGGAATTACTGCAGAAACCTGGATAAATGTGATTTATATGTGGAATGAAACTGATACAACCAGGAGGGTTCAGGTGTGTCTGCTATATTTATTTTATTTAAAGAACTTAAAATACAAATCTGGATTTAATTGGCTAATCTGGAGATTATTTTAGATCCGGTCGGATTGTACCCAAAATCAATTTGAAGGTATTTCTAAATGCTGCAGTAAATCGGTCATGTTTTAGAAGAAACGTCTCCGTTTAGTTCTGAAAGACGAGTCCAAGTTCGGCGGTCGACCTCAGAAAAACGCGCTAACAAAAGAGAGGAGAAGAAAAAGGCTGATGCTGTGTGTGTGTGTCAGTGTGTGTCGGTGTGTGTGTTTGAGAGAGACGGTTTCAAGGCTCCCCTTCCCTTTCGCTCGTTCGCCCTCGCTGCCTCTCTCTGACACACACACACAGGAACACACACACCCGTTTTCACGCTTCACCACCAGCACTTTCTCTCTGTGCGGATGCACGCTCGCTCGCCCAGCGCTGCACTCAGAAGGAGGAAGACGAGGAAATCAATTAGTGTTCCTCGTCTTCTCACCTCCTCCTCTTCCTCACCGTCTCCCCTGACGCTCCGTTAAGCCTACGCTAAATCATCTTAAAACACGCAGAAAATGATCAATATTCAATACTTTTCTGACGTAACTTTAACCTAATGAATGATAAAGTGCTGTTTTAATTAATCACTCCTAAATCTACCTTTCAGGAATTAATTATTGCTTGAAATTAAGAGATTTTTGTGTCAAATGTATGTTAAATGGTGCAGCAGTGCCTTCTAGTGGAGCACAGAGGGAATGTAAATATTCAGTTATTGGCTGGTGTGTGTGTGTGTGTGTGTGTGTGTGTGTGTGTGTGTGTGTGTGTGTGTGTGTGTTTGAACAACCCAGAGAGCAAATTGTTCACAAACTTCTCTCCAAATATCGATTTGAGCTCCACCTGCTGGACAAGACTCGGTATTACATTAATAAAAACAGGCTTTAAGATTCAACGTCCAAGTTTAACGCTTCTTCTTTTAACAAAGCTGTGGCTGAATGATGGCAGAGCGCCCCTAGCTGAGCAGCATCCAGTGGACTTTGTTTCTGGAAGAGACGTGCCTGTGCAGGAACAACACACACACACACACACACACACACAGAGGAAATCAGGACGGCGCTCTGCCTGTGTGAGAGGAAATTAGACCACCTCATTATTCAAATTAGCTCAGAGGAAAAGCGAGTCGTTCGCCTCGTTTACGCCTCAACAGATGGAGAGATCTGTCACTCTTCCTCTTCGTCTCCTCGTTCTGTCATCTACTCTGCTCCTCCGTTTATCTGGCTGTTTCCGTCAGGATTTCCCATCATGCATCATGTCCCTCACAATCAGCACTGTTGTGAACCTTGACCTCCATCTGATGGCGGCGTGTCCATCTGACTTCAGTGAAGCTGATGGTGATGTGGTTCTGGAGGCACCTTTGACCCCTGACCTTTCGTTCTATAAAACTCAGCGTACTGATTGGTCGTTTCTCCTGGTTAATTGCTCCATTTCCCGCTATCAGAATGGATGCTAGCATGTTTCCTGAGCTGAGCGGCTAGAGAAGAAGAGGAGACAAATGACTGTCTCCTGTTGGTTCGGGACAGAGAGCGCCCTCACATGGAAGATCAGTGTAGTTGTACACAGTGGTAAAATCCAGCGGCTCCTCTGGGCTGTAGCGCCTCTAGTGGCCTCTGAAGGAACTGCTGCAGCTTTTTACATGAACTGATTGATCAAAAGCCAAACCTTCAGCACAGCGAACCACCCAGCTGTCACTCAAAGCACAGGAACCACGGCAACCATGCATGGAAACGAGGCCTGACCTTTAACCTGACTTATTCCTTCACACACATTTACACACCAATCAGAGCAGGAGTGTGTGTGTGTTCCTGCTCTAACCTTGTCTCACACACACACCCTGTAGCTGTGATCTGTGTCACCACAGCGCCCCTGCTGATTGCTGCTGTAATTGCTGCAGTTTCAATTTAATCAATTAAATTAAAACATTTTAAATATTATTTAAGTTAAAATTTAAATTAGAATAAATAATGGTTTAATAATAAGTATATTTTAAAAAGACTAGAAATCTGATTAATGTGATTTTTGTTGTCAAACATCCAGAACCAGAACATCAGCTGAACTGAGAGTCCAGTAGAAATGAACCGACTCTCAGTAGAACCAGGTTTGGATCACAGAGTTAGAACCAAACTGCTGCTGCTCGATGTTAAATACCTCCTGGTTCATTGTGGTCACTTATTAAAATTAGATTTGAGTAAATTTATTAATTTGACTCTTGAAATTCTGGATCAAACTTCTCAAACTTATTCTTATTGTTGATGGATCCTAATCTGACTCTTGAATTACTGTTCTGACTGACAAATAAACATCAGTCTGTTGATTATTACTGACTTTTTAATCAGGTTTACTGAAAGGTTTTTGTGAGCTGCATAGGCTCCACCCACTTTCTGCAGACAGTTCAGATTTCATAGTCAAGCGCACCGATCGGCTTCGGTTTGAAAATAAAGCCACTGAGATGTTCTTCAGAACATTTTATTACCAAGAGGAACATTAAATAAAAACCATCCAGAGCTGAGAAGCAAATCAGACTCAAGTTGAAAAAAAAAATGCTTCATTAAATAATTTCTGTTTGGTTCTACAGGTTCTGATCGGCTGATCCAAACATTAGAAGGTGAATCAGTCTGAAAACGTCTTGAGTTCCTGTTCAAAGCAAACAGCTTCATCCATCAGAACGGTCCAGATGGAGGTTCTGGTGGTTCTGGAGGATTATTTAGAGACGTTTGTGTGTTTCAGTCGCTTCGTTGCATAGTTTGAGTCCCCAGCATGAAATGACAGACAGACACTGGAAAAGTGCAGCAAACAGAGAGAACAGCAGCTTCCTCTGATGACCTTTAACCCCAACTATCACACAGGTAGGGTTAGCTTTAGCTCATTAGCTACAAACAGCAGACTAACCAGTTTGATCCGGTTGGTGCAGCTGGAAGCTGATGGTGTGTTTAAGGACACTTGTTCAGACATGAAGGCAAATTTAGCAGGAAGTCAAGCACAGCCTAATTTTTCCACATTTAACCTCGAACAGAAACACCAGAGGTCAAAGGTCGTCAATAATCTGGGTTTTTAATTAATGTGTTGGTGTTGGTTTTTGTAGGTAATGAGCTAAGCAGAACCACGTCACAACCGGACCGGGTCAGTTCCTGCAGCCTATCTCCTCCTTGTAGCGGTTCGTTAGCGTGTTAGCCTTCAGCGTGAGTTTGGACAGAACCGCCTGCAGTCCGTTCAGGTGGAAGTGGAACTGTTTCTCCAGGTCGTCGTCGTCCCGGCCTCGCCCCGCTTCCCCCGGCCTCGGGCCGCTCGTCGCCCAGGACGCCCCACTCCATGTTGTTCCGGATGGACTTGAGCAGGACGTAGGAGCTGTACATGTCTCCGTCCGGCTGGAAGTAGCCGTTGGTGGACGGGGCGGACTCCGGGACCTTCAGGTCCTCGCCGTCCTCCAGGGGGACGTCCCGCAGCAGACTGGGCACCATCACTGTCTGGTCCATGTTGTTGACGGCGCCGATGAAGCGGCTCATGGCGGTAAAGAGCGAGTTCTTCTGGTTGTAGGAGTCTGATATCTGCATCATGGTGGACAGCTGATGTCCGCTGTGACCGCCCGGCGCCGTCCAGGACCAAACTTAGCCCGCTAATGCTCTTTGGGGGATTAGGATGGAGCTGGAGCCTGATCCCGGGTCAGGAGGGAGGAACTCGACGCGTGAGCCAGACTCTGTGCCAGGTCGGTCCTGCAGGACTTCAGACGCCCATCAGCCACCTGGAAACAAGCAGGAAGACATAATCCAGCCATTAATATTCTGGAATAATAATCCAGAACCAACATTCATCTGGAGGTTCAGATTAAACAACATGGCAGGAAAAAGCTGCTGCTTTTAATAAAACAAACTCTCTTCAAACTACAAAACATTCAGCCTCTATTTAACTCTAAACATGAGAAGAATCATTAGAATCGGTTCGGCAGCCATCGGCTCTGAGGATCCGAACTGCTGATGAAATACAGGAACTGTCCGATGATGGAACCAGGATCACCCTGTGGGTTTTCAAAGCAAACATCCCCGAAAATCAGCAGAAAAAATTCACCAGAACCCCAGGATGTTCGGTTTATCCTGGTCCAATTGAGCCTCCCTACGGAGGCTAACGGAACATCTCTGCGGGGTTCGGGTCAGAACAGCCGGTTCTGCTCCAGACCAGCGCTAATTCCGGGTCCCGCTATCTGACTCGCTAGCGCTGCATTAACCGGAAAACCCCCCGCAGGTGGTCGGTCCGGAGAGCTTACCGTGTGCCGGCCGTGGTTCCTTTCCGCCGTCCGGTTGTGGAGCACCGGGTTCCGGTTTTCCGTTGGTCGAATAAGCGATGAGCTCCGGGAGGGTCGGCGGGTTTGTCCGAAACAAGGATGTAGCGGGGCGGGGCGGGGCTTAGGGCGTCAGGAAGCATCACCCACAGCCAATCACAGCGAGGTTTGCCAAAGACGGCCAATCATACACGGCATGACGTCAGATGGAACGTTGGAAAATGTTAAATTGTTAAAACTGATTAATTATGAAGTGAACAATTAGTGTTTGAATGGAAGAAACAGGTTAATTAATTTACTTTATGTATAAAGTATTTTATTAAAATTAATTACTATAAATTCTTATGGTCAGCAATTAATTGTATTAGACACAATAATTGATTTAAACTAAAAAATGCATAATTTACTATCACTATTACTGTATTATCACTGTAAATAAATACATGACTCGCTTTTTAAATTATTTAACTATATAAAATAAGTCATAATTTCTTATTTAGTGATTATATTAGTACTTATTGGTTGTTACAGCCCCTGACCAACAGGGGGACCTCCACAATTTATTTATTTATTGTTCATAAAAATAAAAAAAAAATCGGGACCTGTCAATTACAAAATTAATCATATTGTATTTTCAAAGATTATTTTTAGCAGTAAAGATGTAATAAAGAGCAGACATCCATATTCGCCCTGCAGGAAATGGTTCCTTCCTGCTTGGAGCTGCAGATGTTCAGCAACAAACAGGAAACCGGGACCGGCTGTGGAGGTCACTATGCTGCTGAGAAAAAATAAAAGTTAGCTTTTCGATTTAAAAAAAAGAGAAAGAAAGGGAAGAGTGTCAGTTTTTAACTCAGTTTTTCTCAGAGAGGTGAGTAGACTGTGAAATCATCAACCCTTTAGCATAGTTAGCTTAGCTACAGACTGTTTGCGTCCTTTTCATTAGCATTTAATGAATTAAGGAAAGAAATTAGCAACATATTTATATATTTAACGTGTCCCTTGTGCCTTTTAGCACTGAACAGGTGAGTCAGTCAGCAGTGGCTCTCGTCCCTCCTGACCCGTCCTCTCCTGCTGTTAAAACTTTTATTTTAAAAAAGATTTTTTTTTCACATACTTGTTAAAACTCATTATGTTGTGACAGTATGGTAGGAGAGATAATCTGTGAAATATCTACTTCCTAAGTGCTAGAAACAACCAGTCAGTGGCAGAAGAGTGTTACTGCTGTCAATCACAATGCATGTGGCTGCTCATCCCTATGCTGCAGCTAGCATAGCCTTTTGTTAAAGCTTACTCTAGTTAGCATAGCTGCCAATGACAGCAGATAAACATTTTTCTGCAATGATAAGTTGTTTCTCCCCCATTAGCATATTTAGCAGTGAGTGAATGAGGTTGATTGACAGCACTAAGATCCTCCTCTTGGTTCTAATTGGATATTTTGGTTGTTTTAGTGCTATTACTCTAGCCAGTAATAGTAGCTCAGGGAGCAGGTGGAGGAGATTGATTGTTTTCACAGATTATCTGTCTCATAACAAAGTGTCACAACATGGTGGCAGCTTTAACAAATAAGGAGAAAACATAAGTTTATTAAAGTGATATACTGCAGCTTGAATAAAATGTAACTACATAGCATTTTTGAGAAGACTGGATAGCTTTGTGTATTTTGCATGTTGCCTATGACTTGCTGGTGGGGAGAGACATTTCAGTAATCTAAAACTAATAGAAAATATTTAAGCAACCTCCTTGCATTCTGGATATGGACTGTTGGATGTGAAATTCTTGAGCAGGAAATATTGTGTTAGTATCAGCACTAAACCAAAGAAAGCACAGCAGTTGCAAACCTTTAAAATTGTGACACTTTTGATGGTTCAGATATAATCAAAACATTATATCAGCAGCTTCATCGGGGGTCCAATTCAATTTTTTGTCAGGGGGCCCAAGATTCCTGGCAGCGACCCTGGCTTCAGTAATTAACAGCAGTTGAAAGAGGCTTTTATTTTGAAGGGTTAGGTGTGTAGAAGTGTAGCTCAGGCTCAGATGAGAGTCTGAAGGTCATAAATAGGAGGATTTATTGACTGTCATTTAATGTTGCAGTGGTGAGAATCTGTTGATGTAAATCTCAGTTTTACGTCTGAATATTTGCTTTAGATGAAACATTTAGTGATTATCAGATCAACAGTCACACAGAGAGATTTTATTTTGTAAACATCTGGAGTAAAATATGAGTTTCATCTCAAACTTGCTCTTTGTTCAAACTTCCAGCGCATCATCATGTAATAATACCGCCGCGCCCTCTGCTGGACTCATGGAAACACTGCAACGAGTTGAAAGAGCAAAAATGTTCATAAAACAAAATAAATACAAGGAAAATGAGACTGAGTTTGTGTCTGCAGGTTTCCATGGTGCCGAGGAGACGGCAGATGGTCAGAAAGGATTCCATGTGAAGGACTCACCTCAGTTCACCTGTCAGACCATCTCATACTGGTTGGTGCTGATGAGGTGGGCCAAGCAGCAGGCCAGAGACGTCCCGACCACCTGGGACAGAATCGGGTCACACTGGGTCCAAACATCAGTTACGTGTCAAGGTCAGGGGTCAGTACCTGAGAGAAGGCGATGCCAAACGTCACGCCAGCTATGATGGCCATGTTGTTCTCTATGAAGGACACCACCAGCTCATAGCAGCCCTGCAGAGACACAGAGACGGGTCATTGAACAGTCCATCCATCCGTCCATCCATCCATCCATCCATCCATCCATCCATCCATCCATCCATCCATCCATCCATCCATCCATCCATCCATCCATCCATCCATCCATCCATCCATCTATACATCCATCCATCTATACATCCATCCATCCATCCATCCATACATCTATCCATTCATCCATCCATCCATCCATCCATCCATCTATACATCCATCCATACGTCCGTTCATCCATCCATCCATCCATCCTTACATCTATCCATCCATCCATCTATACATCCATCCATACGTTCGTACATCCATCCATCCATCCATCTATACATCCATCCATCCATCCATTCTTACATCTATCCATCCATCCATCCATCCATCCATCCATCCATCTATACATCCATCCATCCGTCCGTACATCCATCCATCCATCCATCCATCCATCCTTACATCTATCCATTCATCCATCCATCCATCCATCCATCTATACATCCATCCATCCATCCTTACATCCATCCATCCATCCTTACATCTATCCATCCATCCATCTATTCATCCATCCATACGTTCGTACATCCATCCATCCATCCAGCTATACATCCATCCATCCATCCATCCATTCTTACATCTATCCATCCATCCATCCATCCATCCATCTATACATCCATCCATACGTCCGTCCATCCATCCATCCATCCATCCATCCTTACATCTATCCATCCATCCATCCTTACATCCATCCATCCATCCATCCTTACATCTATCCATCCATCCATCCATCCATCCATCTATCCATACATGCATAAACCTCTTAATAGGTAAATGAGAACCAATAGTTTTATCTTTTTACTTCTAAAGTTTTCTTGCTACATGAAGTTTTCTGTAATTGTTTCTGCACACATTTCATTGAGGCATGAAAAAGATGAGTTTCATTAATGTGTAAAGAATGCAGTAAAATGTAACTGAGATCAGCATTTCCAACCAACTGAATGACTGAACTGTTGCAGATGTTATCTTCCTGGAGGTTTCAGCCATCGTCAGTCAGAACTCTCCTGGTGTGTATCTGTGACCTCCTGACCTGTCTGTAGACTTTGTGTGCAGCCAGAGTCGCATTCTTCAGTTCAGCTTTGCTGCACTCCACATAGGTAACACAGCAGCTGGCAGGGAAACCGCTGGCAGGAAAATACACACTGCTGAACCAGCTGGTGTAGTTCTGGACTCCACAGCAGTGTAACTGAAGAAACATCCAAAAAGACGCAACGTTTAAAGGCTGATTCTGTTTTTGGTTTCCTGATGAGTAAACTAGTGCATCGTCTGCGTATGGTCTGTTCTGCAGGTTGCCATGGTGAATGTAGAGAGACCATTAATTGATAAATATGAATGCTGCTCTTTCAAAGACAGAGAAGGAAAATAAAAAGATTAAAAACTAGAAACCTGGAAGGTCTGAGTAGAAGCCCTGAGGAACGCTACGACCAGCTAAGGGTTAAACTCTGCTGGACTCACTGTGCGCTGGACGCTGTCCACCGCCATGCTCCTCTCATCGTATCCATTGTACCACATGACGGCCTCAGAGTACGACGTCAGGAAGGTTCCTTTAATCTGGCGACACACAGCCGATCAGATGATTTACCGAGTCAAACGTCTGAAATGAACCAGAATGTTTCAGACCTCATGACGAAAGATGAATCCAGAGATTCCAGCGACGAGTTCGATCATGAACACCAGAGACAGAGAAACAGCATACTGGAAGAGGTCAGGGGTCAAGATGAGACATTCTGCTCCCTGTAATCATGTTCATTTGTTAATCTGTGTCCCCTCAGGGTGTAATCTGAAGAGACCTCCCACCAGTTTGAGCATCCAGGGCCGACCCCTGCAGGTGGCGACGCAGCCGAACAGTCCGAACAGGACGATGGCGGCGCCGGTACCGACCAGCGCGTACGGAGCGTTGGTGGGGCTGCTGGAGATCAGCAGCGTGTACGGCCCCAACATGAACTTCCACCACAACCCCACCGACAGCAGGACCACACCTGTCACCTGAGGGGGCGGAGCCAGCGGTCATACTGACGGCCAATCAGCTGCTTGTTTTAAATAAATCATGATTCCTGATCTCAGATCCTGGTTCTGATCCAGACGACAGAACCTGCCTGATTCGGATCAGAACCGGACCAGATGGGCCGAGACACAGGAAGGAGGCGGGTCGTGATTCAGCAGCACATGACTGAGCGAACAGCGGCAGCCAGGTGACAAAGTGACAACCAGACGAGAAGCAGAGCAGCAGCGATGCTAACGGCGCAGATTCACTGACGCAAGGTGAATTTAATAACATTAATGATTCATTTCTGTTCCTCTGCTGGAACAGGAAAAATGTTATAAAGCTCCAAAAACCAGAAAAATTACAATAATTCATATCCAGTCAATGTGGGGAAATGATGAATCGATCCGTCTGTGGCTCAGCAGAGCAGGAGGAAGGAAACAGGAGGAAAAGGTTCTGTTGAGCAGCACAAACCGTCCAGACCGGGTCCAAAGAACCAAATCATTACATTCCTAAAATAATGCACCTGGTTATTTATCCCAAAAGTTATTGGTTTTCTTGCATATGTTAATGTATTAATTTTATCTCTAGTCATAAAGTCAGATTATTTTGTCTTTTCACTTTAACAAAATATAATTATGTGAAACCAGTTTGAAAAGAAAGATATTAAATAAATAATTAGTTTATTTGATAGAGGTTCTGCTCCTGGCTGCCTCTAGAAACCAGGATCTACCTGCAGAAGGAAAAACGTAAACTCTGCTCCTCTTCCTCAGCCTGCCAGGGAGGAAGAGGAGGAAGAGGAAGGTCCTCACCCAGAAGATGAAGGAGTAAAGCAGCAGCAGCATCTTCAGGATGAAGATCACTGGTTTGGTCTCCATCCTGCTGGGAGCCATCATCAGTCGGACTTCAACTGGACCCGCTGCTCCTCTTCCTCTGTCTTTGTATGGGCTGAGGAAGGCTCTCTGAGGCGTCAAACGGCGTCCTCTGCTGGAGGAAAATGTAACTGCAACATCCTCAAACGTTACAGGGATTTTTCAGAGTCAGTTCAGTTGTAGTTTGTTTTTAGAGTTTTTACGGAGCGGTTCTGGATCGGTTTGGGTTCTGGGTCAACGCAGATGAACGTGTGAACATCCAAAATGTGTCGGGGTCGGGGTAGTTAGGGGTAGTTGGAGCTGAGACGCCTCACCTCTGTGTGAATTGTGTGGTCATGGTGTGAAGTATGATGGTCACATGGTGCTTCCTCTACAACCAGCCCTCAGTGGACAGAAACCAGAGAGAAACCGGGTCATCACTACGGCCCGCGTGATGTTCTGCTGGAGCCGCCACATTAAAGGCTCAGCTGCACTGAGGTCCGGTTCTGACTCTGCTTGATGTTTGCCGCAGGTGGTGTTTGGATGACGGAGCTGTTAGAGCATCCGTCACACAGTCAGACCAACACAGAGGTTCTTGTTCTTTTACGGCCAGATTCGGTCCAGGACGGTCCGATAACCACGGTTTTAACCAACCGTTGCTGCTCCAGCTTCAGGTCATAACCGGGTTCTACAGAACTGGGCCTCAGAACAACAACCCCAAAGGAACTGGACCTGGTCCTGGACACCAACCAGGTCTGAAAAACACAGCGTCCCAACATCATTTTCTGATGCTAGTCGTTTGAATTTTACAAAGATCCGATCAAAGTTAGAAACACTGCTGAGCAGAACCATGGAGGTTCTGTTGGGTCAGAGGAGGTTCTGTTCTTTAGGTCAGTTAGTATTACATCAATTATTTCTATTTGCTAAAAGCAGAAATTGTAGCTAAAACATCTTTTCATTCTTTCTTCAAACTCAAAAGTTCACATTCAATCAGCAACCAGGTTTTAAATGTTCCTTAAATATTTTTACATAATGATCTTTCCTCAAGTTATGAAGCTCCTGTGGTGAAACAGCCCTCAGCATGATGCTGCCACCACCATACTTCACAGTGTGAAGTATGGTGGTTTCTGTCCCACTGAGGGCTGGTCTGTAGAGGAAGCACCATGTGACCATCATACTTCACACCATGACCACACAATTCACACAGATCATTGTTACATTTCCTCCAAATGTAACAATGATCATTATAAACAAACAGTTTAGTTTCATCAGACCTCCAAAAATGAAACTTTGTCTGTTGACATCTAAACCAACTGATCTGAACTTCACGACTGAACATCAACTAGATCGCCTGGTGACGACACCACATGATGCAGCTGTCAGGAACACCTTATATGGTCACTGAAGATTCTAGTCCTCATGTTTAAAATGTAATTTTAAGGTGTTGTGAGTCTAAAACAGGAAGTGACATCAGTGAGGGGCTGGAAGGAGGATCTTCCTACACCTAAAACTACAGATCTATCATGAATTCATCAAGAAGCCTTTTGTGGTCCAACTGATGTTTTCTCAAACTGCAGCTCCCCCTGCTGGTCAGAATTCAGAATGCAGCTTTTTTCTGACCCGTCTATTGAATGACAACACAGAAACTCAAGCAGGTTTCAAGTTTTATTTTCTCCAGACACAGTCATCGTCATGTAGATCACAGTTGTCCTTACAGTTGGTGAAATTAAAGCAGATTTATTTATTGAAGATTAATATACTTTTATGTATAGGACAGAGATGAGGACATGTTGATATATGTAAGATGATATATGTATATGTAAGATGATATATGTAAGATGATACAGAGAACCTTGAAGGTTCTCTGTATCATCTGAAGTATCCAGATCAGAACCACCAGCAGTTCATCACAACCAGGATGATGAGACGATCACAGTTTCGTCCTCTAAACCCGTACCGACCAGGGCGTGAAGGATCCTGGCTCAGCTGGAGGGCACTGGGAGGAAACCAGCAGAACCAAACAATCAGGAAGGGTTTTATTTCTGTAGCACTGAAGCATGTTCCTGGAGGTTTTCATACCAGTTTGGTGAATCTGTCACAGCAGGCATTGCGGATCCTCTCTGCAGAGGCCGGGCTGTCCAGCCTAAAGGGTCCCGTCATTTTTGACTCCGCCCGGGCGGCTCTGACCGCGTCTTTGATGGCGTAGAAAACAGACGCTGCCAGGAAGAGCGGAGGTTCGCCCACCGCCTGGTAGAGAGAGAGTCGGTTTAAAATGTCCTGCTCTGCATGAGAGCAGGGATGTTTCTGTCTGCAGGGTCAACAGGAAGTGACATCATTTACCTTGGAGGCAAAGATGGCCTTTTCATTGGGAGCATCTCGGAGCAGAGAGACGGTCAGCTGAGTGGGAATGTCGCCAAAGGCTGGAATCTTGTAGGAACCAGGACCCCGAGTGAGGAGGACCCCCTGTGGGGAGTAATGGAGCTCCTCCAGCGTGAAGAGGCCCAGACCCTGCATGAAGGCCCCCTCTACCTGGAGAACAGGAGAAGATGTAGACCAGACAAGGGATCCAGGTAAACAACGGCAGAGTGTTTGATGTCCTACCTGTCCGATGTCGATGGCTGGATTCAAACTGTGGCCTACGTCCATCACTATAGTGGTGCTCAAGTTCTGCCACACAAAATGATGAGAAATGTCCAAAAGACTTCCCTTTAGCAGGTTGAAAGAAATCTGAGGGTTAAAGAATGAAGACAGTACAGACCTTGTGAGCTCCAGTCAGACAGTCTACCTCCACCTCTGAACAAGCCACTCCGTAGCTGTAGTAGTTGAAGGCTCTGCCTGAGTTGGTGTCAAAGTCATAGCCCAGATCTGGAGTCCTAACAAAGCAGAAACCGTGCTAGTTTAGTTGAACTTAAGTCAAAGCAGTGACTGAACTTGAAAGCTCACTTGTAGAAGCCGTTGGCACTGAGGTTGACTCTGTCGAAGTAAGCAGCATTCACCTAGAAAACACAAACCAACATTGGGATATTTAAGATGATGTTGGGTTGATGTAGACTAAAGAAAAAGAAACAACAAGGCTGTGTGACTTATTGGTTCTTCTCACCCAGTCCTCCCAGCATCCTTTGGGATTCTTAGTCTTAAACCGCTCCAGGCGCTCCAGCAGAGTCTCACAGGCGTTCTGAACGGCCGCCCCGTTGAGGTCGGAGGACGAGGACGCAGCGGTGGCGCTGGTGTTGGGCACCGTGTTGGTGCTGGTCTCTGAGATGAAAATCTTTGAACAGGGAATACCCAGAACCCTGCTGGCAACCTGGAGGCAGTTCAGATGCACATGATGCTGAACTTATTTTCTTGCTTATTTTAATACAGCACCTTTATACAGTAATTTATGCTTCCAGAAAGCTGCTGCTTTTTGATGACCATGAGGCGGGGCAGTTCCTTCTTCAATAAGGTAAAAGCAGCAGCTGAAGATGTGATGATGATTTAAAGAGGGTTGTGTGTTAACAAGCTGTTTTTACAGTTCTCCACCTGGACCATCTTGGTGTGAAGACCCTGTCCCATCTCTGTCCCTCCATGAGTCAACAACACAGACCCGTCTCTGTAGATGTGGACGAGAGCACCAGCCTAAAGACAAAGAACACAGTAGGTCAAACTTATTCACAAAAAAACTCCTTAGACTCCTCAAAAGCTGCTTGACCCAGAGATCACAGCCCAGTAGAGCGAACCTGGTTGAGGAAGGTGGCTGTAAAGCTGATGCCAAACTTAGTGGGAACGATCGCAAGTCCTCGTTTAGTCCATCGGTTCTGTCTGAAACACAAAAACCTTTTTCTGCACTTTATTTTCTTCTGAGGTAAAGGAAGTCAAAGCCAGTCAGAATTATCCATCAGTCTAGTTGTTGTCAGTTTGAAGCTAAACGTTTCCTTCAGATTCATTAGGTTTACCTGTTAAAGAGATCCGCTGCAGCTCGTCGCTGCTTGTATTCAGACCGTGAAAGACACTCGTCCCAGCAGCGGTCCAGTGTGAGCCCCTGCAGGATCTGGTTGTAGGGCGTTGACTCTCCCTCCAAGTACAGGTTCAACCGGCGTACCTGTAGGGGAACAGACTCGTTAACTGGACACTTCTACACCAGAGTCCAGCTGCTCAGACATTATTCATGGACAGACCTCCTCAGGTGAGCGGCCCAGACTGTGAGCCACATCTGTAATCCAGTTCTCAGCGACCATCATGCCTTGAGGCCCTCCAAAGCCTCTGAAGGCCGTGTTGGATGGAAGGTTGGTGTGACACAGGAAACCTTGGCCACGCACGTTTGATATACGGTATGAATTTTCCATGTGGAACAGAGCACGCTCCATAATCTAAATGAGTACAAAGAAGCAAAGTATCGTCAGCATAGCGTGTGATCAAAAGAAGAGAAATCCTGGTTGTGGATGAAACTCACTGCCTGCGAGAGATCCAAGGAGTTTCCAGAATTGCTGTAGAAAGCCACATCCAGAGCGACTACCTTCCCACTGTGGAGGAAACCAACCTACGACAGAAACAAGAGCGAAGCTCAGATCCTCCCAGTAATGTTACCTTTTCAGAAGCTTAGGTGAACTACGTATACTTTGTATTTCCCGTAGAACGGATGACGTCCTCCAGTGATCAACATGTCCTCATCTCTGTCCAGCATACACCTGACAGGTCTCTTCAACCTGAAACACACAAAACTCTTTTAATCTTTGGAGTTTCAGAGTTTTAACATGAGACGTGGGTAACCTACTTGTTTGCTGCCACGGCAACAACAGTGGACAACACAGTGGTCCGACTTTCTTTTCCTCCAAACCCTCCACCCATCCGCTTAACTCGTACCAGCACCCTGTTTGCTGGGACACCCAAGGCCTTTGCTACAAAAGACTGAAGAACAAGAGACAAACAAAAATGTGTCGGATAGGAGGGTGATACTTTCTACTCTGAATGAAAGTGAGCATTTAAACTTGTCAGAAGAATTAGGGTTAGGGTTATTTGTGGTTTTGAACATGGCTGACAGCTTCCTGTGGCGTACCTGTGTTATGGACTTTGCAGAGATTTCTGATTGTTACCTGAGAATCAGAAGGCGATTGGCTGGAAATGAAGAGCTCCATTTCTCCATCTTCTTCTCGGGGAACAGCTAAAGTGACGTTTGTCTCCAGGTAAAAATGCTCCTGACCTCCCATATGGATCTCACCTTAAAGACAGTCATTGGCTGATTACTATCTAATTAACCAAGGTCAGATGGAGGTCAATGGGCAGATTGTTTTACCCTCCAGTATGTGATCGGCTTGTTTAAAGCCTGCTTCAAGGTCTCCATTCTGGATGGTTCTGATTGGTTCATAGAAGGACTGGGCAGCAATGGCTTCCTGTTAAAGGAAACAAAAATGTGGTTCAGTGAGTTTTACTGTGATTACTGAGCGTTCAGGTGTTTCTGGTCTCACCTGGATGGTGACGATGGGCGTCAGCTCTTCATACTGGATCTTCACAGCTTTGGCAGCTCTCTGAGCATGAAGCTGAGAGTCGGCCACCACGGCACCGATAATGTGACCCACACAGGTCACCTGTGAAAACAACAGACTCATCATTAACCTGATCATGGCAGATCCCCCTGATTGATCGGTCTGCCAAACTCACCTGGCCGTCGGCGAAGACTGTCTCGTCTTGTCTTACTCCAGTTATGTTACTGCCGGGAACATCTCTGGCAAAAGACAGCAGACGACTCCGGGACACTGCTCTGCCGCTGATATGTCCACAGAGCTGCAGCAAACACACAGCAGGTGAGACCGGACAGGTGTGTGTTACTGTCCAGGTGTGACTGCAGCGTGTCTTACAGTATCCTAGCGTGAGCCTTGGTGCTGGTGATCAGGGCCAGGTAAAGCTCGTTTTCGTAGAGAGGCACATCGTCACAGTAAACTGCCTCACCTGTGGCCTGCTTCAAGGCTGAAAGGTGCATTATGGGACGGCCCACCATGTCATCCTGGTTCTGCCCTTCTGGCACCGCCTGGAGGTTGAGCAGAGAATTACACTCCTGGACATTAGATGCGTTTGTCTGCGCGGTGGATGTGTGTTTGCTGTACCTGGTAGACCTGAATGCTGGACGGTGTCTCTGGATGGTAAATCTCTGTGGCACTCAGACACTCTGAGCTAACCTCCTGAACACTCAGACCCTGACAGAACAACAAATCTGAAAACACTGTCTGGTTTTACTTTCATTAGATGGAAGAAGTTGAACTCAATGAGACAAACCTGCAATCTGAGCTTCTGCAGAACCGTCAGGTAGAACTTGTAGAAAAGGCTTAGGGTCAGGGTCTGCCTGTACGTCACCATGCCACCAGGTGCAGAGGGGTCGAGGCTCATCTCCTCTGCCAATGAGGAGCAAGCCTCCTGAAGAAGCTCCTCCCCCCACTGCCTGCATAACGCAGCACATTGTTGAGTCCAGTCTTCCTCTAACGGTTTCATCTTCACCCTTCAGTTCTTACCTTCCCAGCAGCCGGTTTGCCGTCTTTTTGGCCAGTACTGTCACCGGCGCCATGCCACCATAACTGAGCCTCAGGTCTTTAACTATATCAGTCCCAGGAGAGAACATGGCGCTCATCGCTGCAGTGACGATGCTGATGTCATCCTCACGGCGTGGGGACTGCTTGAAGGCTGAGACGAACTGACACTGTGGGGAGAGGAAAGGTCAGCTGCCTCAAATGAGAGTCAGGATGAAAGTAGGCAGAGAAGATTATCAGCAGAGGACAACCAGACTGTCTTGAAGGTTTAGGCTTCAAGACATTCATGATGTGACACAAACCTTCTTGCTGTATGGGATGAGTATAGAGAGCAGGATCTCCTGAGGTCGTACAGTTGTCTTCCTGTAACCTGTGAAGAAACTGTCGTCCATCTGAACCTCTCGACTGCCATCTAGTGGATGAAGAAGTGAAGGGTGGCAATTAAAATAGAAAATGGAAAAGTTTGCTTGATTTCCTATAACATTTGGCTCCAGAGAGCTTCATGGTCTACTGAATGACCACTAGGTCTTCAGGTCCTGCAGCTGTAGAATAAACCCACATTCTGCAGCTTCCACCACCGTGCTTGACTGTTGGTTCTGTTCATAATGGTCCAACATCTCTGTTGTTCTCGTCTGTCCAGAGGACAGATTGTCTGCAAATTGATGGACTTGAAGATGACCCAGGTAGATGGGCAACACTAGATGCCTCTCTGGGGTCTTTGCTGATGTCTTTCCATCAAACTGAGGAACTTCCTGTTCTACAGTTTCTGCACCACCACAAAGACTTTACTGAAGCAGCAAGAAGAACAAAGGTTTATGATCTTTACAGAGATTAATGTGCGATTTGCTGTTAATCATCTGCAAAGACCTGAATGAGAAGATCCAACTGAATTACTCATGAACCTTTTGTCCTTTCAGGCTTCACTAGCGTCAGAAAACATTAAACACTTTGTTGCACAAGTTCTGGTGAAAACTTATGTAACAGGCTGTTTACATGCAGAAAGACGTCCAGTTTGGACTCTTGATTAAAGGTCGCTTAAGCTCCGCCCACTCTGACAAACAGAGACAGTATGACATCAGGACGTTTTGTCTCTCAGTGGCTGCATCTTTTGGAGGAGTCTGGATTCATTTTCGTACAGAAACAGAACCAGATAAACTTGGAGGAAAAGTTCTACCTTTGTCCCTCAGTGTGAGTTTACAGCCCACCACCATAAACACAGGGTTGAGGTCTGATATGGGACTGGCTGTCATGATGTTTCCTCCAATGGCCTGAAAACACAATCAGTCACACAGACTGTACTCTTGTGAGATGATTTCAGATGATCTGAGCGTTCTTTAGAAACGCACAGCTACATTACGGATCTGCTGTCCTGCGAACCATCGCAGCTGCTCCAAGATGGCCTGGAAGACTTGAGTCTGATGAGGAGGAAGTCTGTGAACGGCCTCTTTCAGCACCGTCCCCATGTGACTGAGGGTGCATGCTGCACCAAACACGATGCCTATAGACCAGAGAGGATGCTTAGTCACGTCTTGTGTTGTATATTTTGAACTTTTAGTGTTAAAATGACTGAAGTTTATGATATTTGTGGTACTTTAGGAAGAATCATTCTCACCATCCTCAGTGTGAGTCACTGCGTTCAGCTCAGCGATGAAACCCGGAGCCAAGATCACAGGGTACACCATGTTTTTAAATTTGACTTCAATACCTACAACAGGAACGATGGATGGATGGACGGACATTGGACGAACGTTGGACGGCGGTAGAGAAGCAGAAAACTCACCCACTTCGGTGTTTCCTACCACCAGTCGGGCATCTGGATGTCTCCACTTCAGGAGCAGAAGCTCTTCCAGGCTCTCGGGCTGCAGCCATGTTGTCCGGTCTCCATGGAAACACAGACTACGTGATGATCTTTGACTCTTTGACAGATTCTATGGGAGAAGAAAGGCAAGAAGAAAGGTTTAAGTCATTCATCAAATAATCAGTGACGGGTTGAAATAACTTGTCGTGGACTATTTGCTCACACTAAGTGTGAAATTAGACTAAAAGTAATGATTCCACAGCAGGTAGAACTGTATAGTTGTGTAGTACACCTGGACTGCTCTGGTTCCTTCATGAAGTTTAGAGTTTTGGCTGAAACAAAAGCCTGTGTTCAACCGTATGCAGATGATAGTCAGGTTTATTTGTAACATATTCATGGTATTTTGCCTGGTTTAACTTATGAAACCTCTTTGAATGAATCTCCGGAGGTGTTGCGTTCCTCACCAGGAGTTCAGGGGGGAAGATGACTTCCTGTGTGGGATCGTACGGCTCAAAGTCTGCTGTGTTGAACAGAGATGTGGCCTCCTGTGAAACGATGTACATTTAATGCTGGTCAGACTAGAGGTATTCGTACTGATGTCGGCTTTTAGTGAGGCTTGCCTCTGGTTTGTCCTTTGACCCTTGGAAAGCTCCGCTCCCATTGGTCATACAGCAGCCATTTTGTCCTTTGCCTCCACAACATCCTCCTTCCTAGAAGAACACAAAGTAAAATTCTTCCTGTCTTCATGTGGACAGCTGGAATCTGCTGCTGTTTTATGGTAAACACCTATCATTGTTTTGCTTTTTTTTACCCCTGCTAGTTGTTACTGTCTCTATGATGACAGCTTATGGTCCTTACGTTGATACCGACATGTTAAAGTTACTGAAACCAGAAACATGAAGCCATCTGTTCGTACCACCGTGAAGGTTTTGAATCCCTCCAGAATCGGTCTGTATCCCGTACAGCGGCACAGATTTCCTGAAAGAGAAGATTATTTTTATTACTCCAATGAGAACGACTCAGATTAAGATGAGAGTCAGAGTATGATGCCCCCAATAACAACAACCTTGGAAGGCCTCCTCCATGTCGGCCATGTTTGGAGTGGGGTTGTTCCTCAGCAGTGCGTACATGGACATGACGATTCCCGGAGTGCAGAAACCACACTGAGAGCCGTGAGACTTGGCGATCCGTTCCTGAACACAGAGAACATTAATGCCACTGATGAAGCTTCAGACGGTGACACCTGGTCTCACCTGGTCTCGCCTGGTCTCACCTGGTCTCGCCTGGTCTCACCTGGTCTCACCTGGTCTCGCCTGGTCTCACATGGTCTCGCCTGGTCTCACCTGGTCTCGCCTGGTCTCACCTGGTCTCGCCTGGTCTCACATGGTCTCGCCTGGTCTCACCTGGTCTCGCCTGGTCTCACCTGGTCTCACCTGGTCTCGCCTGGTCTCACCTGGTCTCACCTGTACAGGGTGCAGCTTCCTCGCCACGCTGCCAATTCCCTCCACCGTTGTGACGGCAACCAGGTGTAGAGAGCACAGGGGTGCGAGGCAGGCGTTCACGGCGTAGTGTCTGATATCAGTTGAAGACAACAGCTCTTTGAGCAGCTGTGAAATCAGTTTGTTGGTGTGAAAAGTCTCAGAAGTCAGGTGGAAGCACATGACCGCAGTCCAGGCACGGTTCATTCACCCAGCGGAGGATACAGCAGCTGCTGCGGCTCCGCCTGGTATCGAGACAGCATGACGGTGCAGGCGCCGCATCCCCTTCAGCACAGCCCAGCTTGGTTCCTGTCAGCCCCACTGAGACACACACCATGAGTTAATGTGGAAATCAGGAAACCAGTGGTCAAATCTTCACTCCGACCTCCTGACTGCTCATGTACTGAAGGTTTAAGATACAAAACCACAGCCTGGTCTAAATCAGCAATAACCAGAGGAAGTCCAAACGTCTTCACTCAACCAGAGACCTGAAGGGAAATCATCTTTCAAAGTCTTAAACCTCATAACGTCCAACATCATGTCACTGGTTCTTCTAGAGATGCTTCATATCACATTTCTCCTCAAACTCCGTCTTGATGCATCATCCTGCTGTCTCCTATAAACAGTTTTTCTATTAAACCCAGAAGCTTCTCTTTGATTCTGTTGACTCATCCTTCTTCTCCATCAGCCTCTCTCTGACCTCTGACCTTTTTCTAGTTTACTTTCACTTCATTCTGGGGTTCCTCAGGGTTCATCTTGGGTCCCACATCTTGCCTGGTTTAAATCTTCATCACTGATTCCCTGTTTTTCCTTAAAGATGAAGAACTGCTGATGCAGAACGTCTTCAACCCGATCGACTCTAAACTCAAACTGACAGGAAGTCGATATAAAATTGTTGGACTCGTTGCAGATGAAATGTGGGTGGGATCTTACGTTTTCTCCTCAGGTACGTCAGCAGAGTTATCTCAGGATCCGGGTTCTTTTCAACAATCTGCAAAAGTTAACAGAATAAAAATTATGAACAAATTTTTTTTTTTCTGGAGCCTCAGTGAAGGACGGATTGGGTCTGAAACCAGAACCAGCCGATCAGATAAATCCTTTCTGAATATCTTCTGTTTTCTCCAAACTGCAGATGATTAATGAAGATTTCTCCATTCGGGTCGGGTCGGTAGAACCGAGCCTGGTATCAGTGGGTCAACATGCAGCATGGGATCAGACTGAACTCCTGAGTTCCACCAGAACCAGAACCGACCCTGTCTTACCTTCCTTCCATTCACGAAGAAGACGAGCTCATCGGAGCCGGTCCGGTTCTGAGAGTCGGCCATGGTTCTGTTCCTGCTGGTCTCCATCCTGCTGCTGCTAATGAAGCTCCTTCAGAGGAAGGCTCCTCCTCTTCCTCCTCCCAGAACCTGCAGTCCAACGGGAGTCGGATCCGTTCCAGACATGTGAGTTGAAGCGACGCTGCCGTCGGGCCGACGACCCGCTACAGTCAGAACTTTGATCATAAACTTATTACACGCCTCTACAGGCTAATTATTCACAGCGGGGGGTCAAAGGTCAGGACAATATGGCTTAGGTAACGGGTTTAGAGACATGAGGTCACGTTCAGCAGACATGGAGAGTAAAAACTATGATTATTAATCATAAAAATACGATAAAACACTGAATACGCAGAAAAACCAAATCAGAACATTTGATTTAAATCCATCATCAACTAAATACACACATCAAAATACACACTAAATACACACATCAAAATACACACTAAATACACACATTGAGTCACACCAGAAACTTTTACATTGAATAAGAAAACTAAAGAAATGTGAAAGGGTTGAAATATTTTTTTATTTCTCTTATTGATAAGTCAAATTAATTTCAATATGAGACGAAGATAATCTGAGTAAAAATGTAAATATTTTAGTTTCATGAAACATGACGATACTTTTACTTTTTCTCTCTGCCGACTCGTCTTGTACATTCTGCGACTCCTTCTCTCATTCCCTGTGTCGTAGCAACTGCCACGCCAGCGTCTGTGCTGCTCGCTTCTCCTCTTAGGTCCACGCTTGCACATTTGATTTTTCACAAATGTGTGAAAAAGTAACCACTCCCCTGACCTAAAATCATGTTTCTAATTCTGCTGATGGAGCTCTAACCTTGACCTTTGACCCGCTCTGCTGAACTGATTTTCTTTCACTGATTCAGTTTAAGTCTTATATTTTCTTTCTTTGCTCCATATTAAAGGTTGATGATTCACATCAGTCCTTCACTCTGAGCTTCATGTGACTCACGACTTCGAATCGATTCGATTTGCCCTCAAGAAACATCCACAAAGACTCTGCTGTTAGTCACCATGAAGACGATGCAGCGTGTAAATGAGACGCAGCGCGGCGTTTTAATGTGAAACCTTTAACTGGTCAGAGCTACGAGCAGGGAGCCGAACACACAGCCCTGAGGAACTCCACTCCCAATAAATTCACTTACATGTTTATATGTTTTTATTTTACATTTTAGGAATTAAAATGATACAAAAGTACAACAATAACCTCCAAGCATTTACATTCCAGCGCTATCGCTTCTTCAAACAGTGAAAACTATCCAACACTGAGCAATGTGTCTTTATGTCTTCATCTGGAGGTCGGGTCCAGTCGGGTCGGGTCAGGATGGATCAGCTTGTTGGCCCCGGTTTCACAAAACAGAAGAATAACTTTGAGGTAAAAGACAAAAGGTCACTCTGAACAGTTCTTTGGGTTTTATGTGTGAATCTGCCTCCAATGCTCCGTCGCAGGAAGGCTTTTATTTTGAAAATCAGGAAGCTTGGACCAAGTGGAAGCCTCCGTTCTCCTCCCTCAGCCTTTCCCTCTTCCTGGCCTGCACCAGGCTGTAGACCACCGCTCCCAGCGTGTTCCTGTTCATGCTGAAGCCCCGCCCACCGCCGCGCTCCACGAAGCTGGACCGCTCGTCCCGATTGCTCACGAAGTAGGTCCGAACCTGGAGGAGGAGACGGGTCAGAGTTCACCTTAATACCGTGACCTGGAGCTGAAGCACAGACCTTTCCATGTCGCTCACTGATGCCTTTCACATGAATGTCCCCTCTGAGCTGCCGTAGGAAGCCCTGCTCCACCAAAATGCAGCTGGTGGCTTCTGGGACCTGAAGGAGATGATGATGATGATATGATGATGATGATGGCTGCATAAGCTCCTCCCACAAACAGGTGTGCTCACCTGGATCCTCCCGCTGACCCCGGTGCTCTCCATCCGGCTCGCCATGTTCACCGTCGCCCCCCAGATATCGTACTGCGGCTTGGTGGCGCCGATCACACCTGCGATCACCGGGCCGTGAGCGACACCTACAGGCCAGAGAGAGAACTGCATAAAACAGCTGGAGGTTTTAAATCACTTTGAGAGTCACACTATTACTTATGGAAAAAAATACATAGGAAATACTGGAGATGAAAAAACTAAGATATACATAAAAAAAATTATAAGAAACAAAAACAAATGTGATCCTAAATTAAATATAAATCATTGAAAATCATTTTTTAAATATGGTGAGAATTTGAAAGGAACTTCTTTCTGTCTTTGTGTGTGTCTATGTGTGTGTGTGTATCTGTGTATGTCTGTGTGTGTGTGTGTGTGTCTCTCTCTGTATCTGTGTGTGTGTGTGTGTGTCTCTGTGTGTGTGTGTGTGTATCTGTGTGTTTCTCTGTGTGTGTCTGGGTGTATCTGTGTGTGTATGTGTGTGTGTGGGGGGGTGTGTCTTTCTGTGTGTATCTGTGTCTCTGTGTATCTGTGTGTGTGTGTCTCTGTGTGTGTATCTGTGTGTGTGTGTCTCTGTGTGTATCTGTGTGTGTGTGTGTCTCTGTGTGTATCTGTGTGTGTGTGTGTCTCTGTGTGTGTATCTGTGTGTGTGTGTATCTGTGTGTGTGTGTGTGTGTCTCTGTGTGTGTATCTGTGTGTGTGTGTGTGTGTCTCTGTGTGTATCTGTGTGTGTGTGTGTCTCTGTGTGTGTATCTGTGTGTGTGTGTATCTGTGTGTGTGTGTGTGTCTCTGTGTGTGTATCTGTGTGTGTGTGTATCTGTGTATCTGTGTGTGTGTGTGTCTCTGTGTGTGTATCTGTGTGTTTATCTGTGTGTGTGTGTATCTGTGTGTGTGTGTGTGTGTCTCTGTGTGTGTATCTGTGTGTGTGTGTATCTGTGTCTCTGTGTGTGTGTGTGTTTCTGTGTGTGTGTATCTGTGTGTGTGTCTCTGTGTTTGTGTGTATCTGTGTGTCTGTGTGTGTGTGTGTGTGTGTGTGTGTTTCTGCCCCCACCGACTCTCAGCTGGAACTGGTTCCCAGTCTGCGTGTTGATCTGCCGCAGCGTTTCCTGCATGGCCAGAGCGAACAGCACCAGCTCACTGAGGTGACGCCAGCTGCCGTCGCTCTCCTGATGGACACATCGCCGTTAGCAAGCGGCCGCAGCACCGAGCCGAGGCAGGAGGACACTCACCTGTCGGTCAGGTGAGAGGCCCGAGGCGGCCATGTAGGAGCTGCCGATGGTTTTGATCTTCTCCACCTCCTGGAAGTAACACTCGTCCAGCAGCTGCAGCGACAGGCAGGCTGGTTAATCAGGGTGGACCAACATCTGGCCCGGGGGCTGTTTGAGGCCCGGAAAGGATTTACTGATCACGAGTAGAAAATGGGGGGAAAAAAACTGTCCAACTACAATAGAGAACAAGTAATATCTCAGTACATTTGAAATATGAGGAAAAACTGACTCACGTAATTTTTGGGCAAGATATGAAAGTTTTTCTTAAGTCAATAATTTTTTAAAAGGTGGAACACTGAGTTCCTTTAGCTGTTTTTTTTTCTTAGTTTAGTGAATTTATGCTTTAAATTTGCCAGTTTTGGTATACAGTTTGGACTTCCCAGTGAACCAGGTCTGAGCCGTTCTGACCTCGTCAAAGTCGCTGATGATGTGGTTGAGGAGCCGCAGACACTCGACGTGCTGATGGACCAGTTCCTTCTGCTCATAGAAGTCGGAGAATCCGGGCAGCGAGGCGAACAGAACCCCGACCCGCTGGTACGACTGGGCGTACAGCTCCTAGTGTCCAAACACAGCAGCAGGTTGGTTCATCAGCGACAGAGGCATCGTGGGATTGGTCCGCCCAGGCGGTCACCTCGTTGTTGGTGTCTCTCTCCAGGAAGTGCTGAGCCACGTGAGACGGCAGGATGTTGAGCAGCAGACACTCGTTGTGTTCACGCTGCTCCTTCATGTCCTCCACCTCCTTCCCGGCCTGCAGGCGCCACAGGAAGTCCAGCCGCGCCATGGCCTCCAGCTACCAACGAAGAAGAGCGAGAATAAGATGCTGAAGACAGAGGTGAGCAGTCTGTCCTGCTGGCCTCACCTGTCTGCTGTTGTAGAGCACTGCCACCACGAACATCATCATGAGAACCAGACAAACGCCCCCCTGGCAGAGCTGCTGGGAGCTGACCTCAGATCAGATCAACAGGGAGGACAACGTGAGACGGGAGACGGCATGAGGCGGCCGTCCTCTCAGAGACGTCCCACAGCACCTGAATGTACCTCTGAGTCTCGATGATGTAAGTGTAGAAACCGGCGGACAGCAGCAGGAAGGCCAGCTGCAGCATGCAGCTCAGCCTGAGGAACACCGCACAGGTAACCATAGCGACCACCGCGCTCAGCACCATGAACTGTTGACAAAAGGTTGGACAGGTAACCATGGTGACTACTGAACTGTCAGGGAAAAGCTGCACAGGTTGAAGGCTACTGTCATGTTCCTGCTACAGGCTAATGCTACAGGCTAATGTACAGGCTAGTGCTACAGGCTAATGCTACAGGCTAGTGCTACAGGCTGATGCTACAGGCTAGTGCTACAGGCTGATGGTACCGACTAGCGCTACAGACTAGTGCTATAGGCTAATGCTACAGGCTAATGCTACAGTCTGATGCTACAGGCTAATGCTACAAGTTAGTGCTACAGGCTGATGCTACCGACTAGCGCTACAGGCTAATGCTACAGGCTAATGCTACAGTCTGATGCTACAGGCTAATGCTACAATCTGATGCTACAGGCTAATGCTACAATCTGATGCTACAGGCTAGTTCTACAGGCTAATAATACAGACTACCGCTGCAGGTTACTTTTGTAGGTAGGACATTAGCTTCATGTTCAAGGAGTCCAGAATGAAGGAGCTCTCACCTCTGGATGAGTACAGATGTTCATGTCTGACCATCTGGAGGGAGGTGGAGTCACAAATGCTTCAGTAACGCCGGATTCTGACCAATCACACCAGAGCTGAAAGAAGAAACTTCATTTGCTTCAGTGCTTAAACTTTGACCTTCACAGTATCAGATCCAGTTTCCCAGCAGCCCTGAACACAGCATGAAGCCAATAACCTTGTGTGGGTTGTGACTGTCAAAATGACTAAAATCAAAACATTCAGACTTACGATGTTCATCGAGGCGATCACAGAGTTGACGGTGATGGCAGTTAGCATGAGGAGAGTTCGTGCGCACTTGGTTTCATGAACCCAGCAGCAGAGTGACTGTAGAGGGGAGGGGCAACGTTTAAATTCCTCCCCCAGAGTCAACAACAGGAGCAGGAAGTAGACAAAGCCACTGATGATGAACTGGGCCACCATCGGACTCCACCTCAACAAAGACAGAAACAGCACCGGTCTGGTAAACGAGGATAAATACTCGGCATTCCCTGTTTCGCTGATGATGTTTCGTTTATACCAGAAGTTGGTGAGGAGCAGTGTACATTAAGTATACATAAAACTGAAACAATTCAATTTAAAAACCTGTTTTATGTTATCAGAAACATTTTGGTAGGAATTAATCTATCGGTTAGTGGAGAAGCATACCTCTGTGCAGGAATTAGCACCTGGACGGCCATCAGCAGTAGGAGTAGGATGAAGGAACACACCATGTTAGACTTGAAGAGTTCATCTCTCATCTGAGAATACTGAAAAGAAGCAGACTATGATCATCCACCTGCCCATCACACCTGAAACAAACCAATCTCCAAACAGGAAGTTACCTTTCCCTCCACTTGGGAGTCCTTGAACACCTGAGAGAAAGTGGTGATGTGCTCTTTCCTCATTCGCTCGCTGCTTCGCACTTCCATTGCCTGGCGGATCCTCTTGTTCACTTCCCGTGAACCGGAACGCTGAGCTGTGATGTGATTGGGCAGCTGGGTGAGAGAGCCATTGGTGAAAGTGGCCAGGATCTTTGGGACGGACAAGGGAAGAAATAATGAAATGACTCCTGAAAAATCCAGATTTTTGTCAACTATATTTCATGCTCTTACGAAATTCATCCCCAGGATGTCTCCAAAAGGCAACTCAGCACTCCAAGTTGTGAGTTCATCATAACTTGGACGCCTTGCTTTAGGTGGCTGGGCCTCCTCCCGTGTTGCCGGGCGGATAAGGTAAGTGTCAACGTTGTGTTTCCGTAGAA